AGTTATGGAAAATAAAAATTAAAGTAAAAAAAAATTGTAGCTTTATATACAGCTCACTGCTTATACAGGTTTCTCTCTTTCTGCAGACACTTGAAGCTCGGTCAACACCAGGACACACCAACGGTTTGTGTACAAATTTCAGTAATTCTTTACAGCTAATTCAGAAAGCTAATAATGAACAACTTTATCATATAATTATCTATGAGATACCTATATTTCTCCATTTTGTAAAGTTTTTTCACATTCGAGGTCTCTCGGAAGTAAGTGGAAGTAAGAAAAAAGGTATTTTACGACATTTGCTTTCATATGTAATTATATGACAGATATGATGAACAGAATATTACATGGTCGCTTGGAGATACGAATTTTATCTTCTCCTGTTTAAAATTTCTCACGAGTGAGTATAGCAAACAACACTCGAAGAAAAAAATCCGTATATCCGCGCGGGCATGTAATATCCTCTAACTTTATTAACGTTTAATAATAATGATAATAATAATAAATAGATTAATTAACTATAAAAAAGAAACTTGATAAACGTCTCAAATCGGTGTAGCCAGACAACAAGTACTAATTGAGGAGACTCAGATCCACACTGCCTCAACATTCATTGTTTTCAGCATACGACACTCCTCACAGCTAGTTTTGACTGAGGGAGGAAAACCAGCGTACATACAGAAAAACCCTCGGAGCAAAAAGAGAACCAGCAACAAATAGTTAATTCTTTAGGATTCTCTACGCCTAGAGGGTGAACGTGACCACAAAAATCACCGCAAAAATCACCATTGTAAACGGGACTTGAGTACACAAAGTGCTACATTGTATTTGAAATTATATTTTTTTATATAATACACAATTTTCATAGATGGCGGTAGTTCATGACTGTCCATATCGGCAGACTAGCGACGAATCATTGAAACGAGACCTCAAAGGCCTTCCATCTAGAAATCACTAAACAAAGATCGCATGTACCGAAGGGTAGTATCCAAAAGTTTCAAAGATGTATTGGTATGTCATTTATAACAAAACACTCTTGCAAGACAATTAACATTTAAGTTTACTATACGGAGGATCGTTTTTGAGACCTCGTTTTAGTGCTTCGTCCCAAGTGCACTGATCAGCGGCCGTGACATATCGCGACATTTTTGAATGTCGTGACTGAAGAATGTTTTTGGTACACTCCAGGTTGTATGACGTTTGTTCATCATGACAGCAAAATGGCTTTCACAGGAGATGCATTACTGATTAGAGCGTGTGGACGGACAGACTTCCAAGAAGGTATGTCATCTTTAGGTGGTCTCCTATATTTACTGTCTACCTAATGYCAAAGTCCGTGCAGGTCCTTAAATCCTTGGGAAGGGTACTTGAATTGAAAACTCATTTTAAAAGGCACTTAAAACTCATTGAAAATTTCGAAAAAGTCTTTGAAAACTCCTTGACCAAGTGCTAGCGATCTCTGAAATATTCCGTTCGGCTGAAGTCTATGTCGGATATACCAGTAAAAAATGGCAAAAAGGTTCCCTTTTCCMAAATGATGTTCTTATTTGGTGGCAGTACCTTCTGGTGGTAACTAGTCAACACCTAAGCAAGGCTTACACACGCATTTTTAAAAGCTTCTTTGTTTGCACCGATCGATTGACATTTCTGACGTAAGAATGTACAATTAGCATGATCATGATGTTCCTTGAAAATACAATTTTGGTCCTTGATAAGTCCTTATAAATTTCGTGTTTGATACTCTGCACGGACCCTGTAATTTGCATACTATTAGTCGCATACGGAGGCTCKAGAAATCTGGAATCGACCTGTCGTCTTTCGAAATTTATAAGGAGACTGGGAACGAGTCTAACGACGTGAAAGACCGTACTATAATTAGTGTTCTTTTCAAGTTTTTAAGACTACCTGGTTGAGTACTCGAACCCGAGTAGCAATTGTTTAAAATATTCAAAAATAAGAGATTCTGTAAACCACGAGGTGTAAATTTTATTCAGATAGTGTTTGAACGTCAATAAATAAAGGAGTGCTGTGCGTACTTATTAATTTGTGCTGCTCGTCGACCCTTAATTTTGCACATTTTTTTTAGACGAAACACATTATATTTTGGGTTTATAGGAGCTGGTGTGTTTGTTAGTAATGTTTCAGGTAGAGAAAGCCTCATAACTTTTTGGAAAGATTAATGTAGATTTTTTCTTCTTCTCAATTTACGYTATAAAAGGTTAATAATGGTTAATATCTGACAACATTCGTAAGTAATTCGACAGGACAGTAATTAGAATAATGGTTTAAACATCGAACTTAAAAGTGTTAAGTTAAAATGACGATACCGACGTCGTTTCTCATAACTGATGTATTGGAGTATAAAAGCCATTTGATTTCTAGTCAGTATACACTTCCATGTATTTTTCTATATCGCTTCATTGCAATAACTGTTT